TCATATAATAGTGCTGCCCACGTATAACTTAAACCATATTCCCTAACAAAAAATATCACATACAAGAAAGATTGGCCATTTCTGCTTTTCCAGATGTTTTCCTGCTAAATGGTTGCTATCTTTTTGACTTATTTTTAAAGGCTCTTTAATGATTAAGTTTTCCAAAGTAACTTAAAAGACAAGCAAATCTTCATATGTGGAAGGAGGAACACCATCTACAGCTGACAAATACATTCATTGCTAAAATTACACAACATTAAACTCTTGCATTTCTAAAGTGTTATAATCTCTCTCTTTGGCTTAACAACTCTTTTTAAAAATCCTCAGTATGACTTGGTACCAAATAGAAAACTGCTTTTGTTTTACATGGGTTGCAAGTCCACAAAGGTAGAAACACTCTACTTAAAGGAGGTTAAAGTTTGCACAATGGTAGATAGCAACAGGCTAGATTAAAGATGTCAAATTTATGATGTGAGTTATCCTGCTATTTCTGTTAAAAACACTGAGGAAACACAGAATCTGTAATTTTGTGGTGAAAAGTCAGGGCAACCCAATTATACCTGATGTACTCAAACTGAGCAGCCATCCTTGCCTAGCAGCCATCCTAGCCCCAGCTTGCAGCCTTTCAGTTTCAGTTTCAAGAGGCAATATCATCTTGTGTTTCACTACTGACAAAAGCGGAAGATCTCTGTTGCCTCCTCCAGCTGCCAGCCACAACCTTCCTGATTCCTCTGCCGCATCAGCCCCGGCGTTCATCAAACCTTTTACTGAGCTGATTCAATGCCCTGAGCCAGCAGGAAAATGCCCACGTCTCTTGCCGATTTGAATCAGCTCACAGGTAGATCCAGCGAGTGATAAGGCCAGCGCAAGCTGAACTGCAGGCAGGAGGCCAGGAAGAGAGAATGGAGCAGAAGTGAGGAGAAAACCTGGACTTCTCCTTTTCTCATGGTGGTTAGAATTACTCAGCCCATCTGGTTAAACCGCAGCCTCACTGAGAGCAGACTAGATGGGACTATTATCCCTGTACTCAGTAGAGAAGTAGTTTGTTGGCAAAACACTGTCTTTCCCTTGTCTTCCTCTCTCCTCCCTGTAAGACTTTGTCTTGCCATGCTCATTTGTTTAATTCACTGCTTATCGCCGTAGAAGAAAAGTTTCCTGAGTGCCAAGATTTAATTTTCTGGGTATGTGCTTAAAGCTTTAACTCAGTGCTGTTTCAGTAAAGATTCCTGGAAGTTAAATGTTCCTTATACAGCCAAAAGCTGACTACGTTAAGGGTACATTTTGCATGTAAGAGATACTGCATTGCATTTTTTAAACTTTCAGTTGAAACATTTCTACAGAGTTCTTAGGACACATACATGTGTGGTAATCTTCCTCCACATGGGCACTGGTTTTGTAGCATAAAAGATGCCATTCACATGCGCTCATCAATGTTAGAAACACATGTGAGCGTTCAAATCCAACCTATTTTAGACAAACTGTGAGCTTCACAAATATAGCAAGTGTTTTTTATAAATCAAAACATTACAGCTTAATTTTTATGACCAGATTCTGAACTGTGGCCACATTTACTTGTTGCTGGATGAATAGCGAGGGCATTACGATTCCGAGTTCTGCAGGCTGTATCACAGGGCTGCTCTAATCTAAGACTCACCAGTATACGATATCTAACAGAGAATATAATAAGGGGATGATAGGAAAAGAGGGAGGAGGAAAGAACAGATTAGAAAAAAACTGCTTTAAACACATTTCTCCAGTGTATTGTACTCTACAATATCTTTCACTCCTTTAAAAGTGGGTAGAAAATACTATGAAAGAGCATCTTTCCTCCTTCTTTGTATATAAGTAAAATAATTATGGTAATTATGACAACTCAAATATTTCTAATTAAGAAACTGGATTCAGACCACAAGTATCTAGTAAAGAGTTGCCTCTCTACAGAATGTCAACCTGTAACTACCCAGGAAACAAACTCCATCCCCCCCTAATAAGTTTGCAATTTTGCATGTTCCACCTTATTTCAAGAAACAGAGTTTCTTCTTCTAAAACAATTTCACCCTTCAATACGAAAAAAGCTTGTCAGGAAGGTAAATGGTGATCAACAGACCTCATTAAGGCAAAACTGTCGTACTTTTAAAATTCTTTTTTGTTTCCTACTGTTCTGTTTATTACCCCTTTCAACACGATTAAACGAGGTCCAGGTAGGTGGCTATCTATACATTACAGGTGTATGAGAAGAATAGCCTCTCTGTATTGCAATATTTATCTCTCCTGCAATGCCATTTACAAGTACAAGGATTACCCTCAAGTGCTGTCAGAGGCATTTCAGCACACCATAATCACATCTTAGCATTCAGAGGGATATAATTTGTTATTTCCTGATTTTTTATATATTTTCTGATTTAAAAGCTTTCTGTTTTACTAATGTATTTACAAATTGCCAAAGTTCCCATTTGGTTTAATTGTTCAAATTGTCATTCCATTTGTCATCTACACAGCTAGAAAAGCCAAAGCAAAATCAGTCACCTCTAATCCATCCCTGATTTGTTTCCAGATGGGAGAGCAAGTGCCATCGACTTTGCCAGCTGACAAAGAAAAATCATACACATTTTGCCTTCTTTATTCAGTGTAAATTCTCAGAAAAATAAAAACCCTGTTAGCCTTCTTAAAAGGTTTAGGCAGTGTGGTGAAATTATAAATTTCCAGCACCAGACACATTTTATTTCTGTGAAAACACTTTAAATCCTGCACCTAACCTTCAATGCTTGCCGAAGTTTCTAGCAAACAAGGACATCGTACAACTCTTGATGCCTGCTCCATGTTAAGCTGATTTAAGGTGGAGTGCAATAGTACTGCTACCCAGATGTGCTTCCTCATGTCCTTCCTTATGCTGGTTCAGATAGCTAAACAGATGAGAACTACCTAAAAGGAAAAATTATTTTTTTCTGCCAAATCAGGCTCATGGGAGTGCTGGCTTCTGTGCATAGCAGAGGATACGACCACACGGCCAGAAGGCAGGACTACCACAGCCTGGATTTATGTTGTTCTTAGCAGCATTACGGTACATATACACTCAAAATGTCTTTACGAAAGTAAACTCAGGTACTAGAAGCAGTCCAGCTTCAACATGGAGCTTTAGGTGCATAAGTTCAGCGGGAAAGTTCTTAGAGTGAAACTAATGAAGTTCCACAAGGATCAGTCTTTTATTTCACATTTGCATTAGTAGCCTTGGCACATAAAATAGCAATGCATTAATGAAAGCTGCAGATGACACAAGAGTTTTATAAACCCAAAATATAATAGTATCGCACAAAAATAACCATCTGCTTTTGAAGGCAGGAAGAATAAAAATGGGATGACATTTAGCTTTGCAGGTGCAAGGTTATGCATTCATAGATGACTTAATTATTTCTAAGTTAAGGTGTGCTCTCTTTACTTAGAAGCAGGGATATGAAAAAGCTCTGAGATCACTAATGGATTACAAAATGAGCATGTAGCACCAATGTGATACAGTTGTGAAAAATAAATTTAATTGAATAAAAGAAAATAAAGAAGGCACTGAGAAATAATAATGTCATTATACAAATTGCTAGTTTCTCTTCCCAGTTCTTTTTTGAAAAAAGCTCAGTTCTGACTGTCTATGTCCAAATGAGAGCAGCATAAAGGTGAAAAACTGAATTTCATAGGTGAGCACTGAGCCAGTCCTTAGGTAAGAAATTAGTGACTCCAGTGTGTCAATTGCTTCTTCTACTGTATTTCTTCTACCAAGTTGTTCCCTAACAAGACCCCAGCTGATGTGGTCATGCCAAAGTGCTTTGCCAGGACCAGTGTGGCATATGTGAAGTGATAAAAAGAAGGAAAAATGAAAGCAGTCTGGCCAAGAATTTTCCAGAACAGAATTATTTATAATGCCAACAGCTGGAAATTTGTCATTACTTGTATTAACAGATAAATAAGTCTTAAAAAAAAAATCCTTTATGGTGTGCCATTCTTTCTTCAATTCTATGCCACCTTATTTAGTCTTCAGAAGAAATTACCTTATCAAAAGCTAAAACTAAACTGAAAAATGGAAATCATTTTTCTCCCATAAAAGTATCCATCCCTCTCCAAACACATCCGAATAAAGCCTCAACCCCTACCCTCTCGCCTCCGCCCCCTCCCCCCGTAGCAAGCAACACGTGAACAGCCGGATTTTAAGTGGAGTCGGTTCTTTATTTGCCTCTGTGTTTGTCTGAGTAGCTTTAACAAGCACCTGTGCGACATTGTGGTTGCGTTTTCGAGTGACAGACTCGAACCTCGAGTAACCGGCCCCAGCAACGACACCCCCCGACGGTACGTACATACGTGTGTGTGTGTGTGTAACATATA